CATAGAGGAGAAACAATAATGTACAGTATGTGGAAAATAATGTTTTTGGAACCTTAAACCACATAAACACATTTCATTACACCAAATACACAAAATAATGTTCTTTTTAGCAACATCATATGACCCCTTTAAATCATTGAGCCTGGTTCTGTTTGTTTACAGTACTCTGTTTGCAACTAATGTTGCCAGTCATTTCTTTAAGTGTATGTTTTAATAAAAAATATATTTACTAGGGCTAGGAAATATAACACACACACACACACACACAGACACAGACACACACACACACACACACACACACACACACAATCTTGAGATTATTTATCTAATTAATATGGAATGATGAACATTTAAATATCTGTTGCAATATCTATTTTTATTTCATGAGGCTACACTAATGTTTTTAGCATGAACATCTAACACAAATTACATGCCCCTTGTCCTGCAAAACACGGCGTTCTCAGGTACCAATCCCACATAAAAGGCTATAATTACTAATTTTATCATCAGTTGTCAGAGTTGAAAATAAAAGTTTAATAGAGTTATTGATAAGTCCTTGACAGTACTCAGCAAAAAGATGCCATTAAACAAATATTATGAAAATATATTTCCTTTATGCTGATTCAAATTGATTTCATTTCTTTGAAAACTCTCCTTTACAAGCATGACCTGGCCGCAACAAATAACATAAATATACAAAAAAATATTACAACATCAAACACAATACAACACATGAATCATGAATCACAACAACAATTTACCAGGGGAATAAAGCACAGAATCTGTTAAAAGTACCTTAATGGAAGTATGCTTAAAATTAAGTAGTTTTATATTAATTTGTAGATTATTCCAAGCAACAGAAGCATTATATTTAGCTCGGTTTGGTCCCAAGGAATATTAAGATATAACATGCATTTGTATTGTATTGTACTGTATTTGTAATTTAATTTGCGTATTTAGTACAGATATTTACGATAACAAGTTTTAACGTTAGGGGCGATTAATCGCCACTCACCAAATTAAACCTACGTGATTAATTGGCACTAATATTTATTTATATTACAATATTAGCACTAAAATTTACATTTACACATTTATGACACTTTTATCCACAATCAATTATCCACTTTAATAACTAAAGACAGATTTACCTGAGCAAGCTCTAGATAGATGAGTACCTCTCCATCAATTTCCTGTCCATCTTTAGATGCTTTTACTAACTCGCTCACAGCGTATTGCTCTGAGGAGAGAAAACATCTGTTAAACAGAAGGCACATTTAGATGAGCTGAGAAAATTGATTTAGAAACCATTTTTACTCGGAAATTGCTAGTAAATTTCACAAATAATTACAAAGAAAAAGCAAGAAACACCGAATTAAACATGAAATTTTGAAGTAGAAAGACTGAAATAGAATTTTCTAGTTTTATTTACTCCAAACTTCAAAACAAATTCAAGTTATTTACACTCCCTACTCTTGCAGACTGTAAATAAACTGATACACAAAAAAAGAAAATGTTTTTTCCTCCGGGGCGGCGCAGGCTATGCAAAACCTGAGGTAAATAGCTGCATCTGGAGTCACAGATAAATTTCAGCCTGTCACCACCACGTCATTAGATGACGTCCGCCGGACAGATTGTAGTGTGTGCCACACAAAGCTCCGCCGAGACGTTCTATTTTATTTGGCACCTTGACATCGCTCGTTGCTAAGCAACACAGAATGAAAGGGCTAAAAGGCCTGTTTGCTTTAGATTCGAGGTGGCCGAGCAGCTCTGCCCTGTGCTTGAGGAACGCGTGTGTTGTTTTGTGTGTCATTCGGAGCGTGTGGCAGAGAGCTCACCTGTCAGGGCGATGAGCCGTGGAAGGCACAGTCTGTTGGCCAGGGCGATTAGCTCCATTGGGTCCAGGTCTGCCATGGGCGACAGCTGATTGGTGTAGAGATACTCCAGCACTGCCTGCATACATACCCTGCTGGTGTTGGGGAATGAGACCTGGCAACACACAATCTTCTTTATTCTTCAAACAATCAATTTTGTCAATTCCATCTGGTGCCGCTAGTCAGCGTGAAATAGCATTTACAAGCCATTTACTTCTGAAATGTGACGATTCTGAGGGAAATAGGAAATCGTTGGGATAAAATGTAGAACAAGATTTGACTTTGTACTTCGGGGATTGATTTCATAGACGACAGGTTGTTGGAGAGGTTGAAAAATAAGAGGACTGGGAGATCTATCAACAAGGAAAGTCGGTTAAGAAGCAAGTTATAAGTTGCACACAAAAAAACCTGTTGTAACCTGCAGATGTTACCCCAAAGATTTGTTTTTGCTCAGTCTAAACCAATGTGTCAGGTTGATTTAGTCAAACTACTATACATAACAGTTTGCCCTCAATAAAACCAGTTTTATTACTATTACCGGTCAAAAGTTTGGTCAAAAGTTGAAAGATTTTTTATTTTATTATTAATATAATAATAATAAAATAATTATTATATATTTTTAAAGCCTCTTCAAGGCTGCATTTGATAAAAAAAAAATAGAGTAAAACATTAAGCGACAATAAGGACATTTATAATGTAATAAAATAATTGTATTTCAAATAAATGCTGTTCACTTAACTTTCTATTCATAAAAGAATCCTGAAAAAAAAATCATGGTTTCTAATTAAATATTATGCAGGAAAGACTGTTTTCAGCATTGATAATAATAAGAACCATTATTAATATTTGATCACCAAATCAGCATATTAAAATGATTTCTGAAGGATCATGTGACCCTGAAGACTGGAGTAATGGCTGTTGAAAATCACAATAAATCAAATTTTAAAATATATTTAAATAGAAAATCATTTTAAATTATAATGATATTTCACAACATAACTGTTTTTTTTTTAAATGTATTTTTAATCTTGGTAAACTTGGTGACTTCTTCCAAAATCATTAAAAAAAAAATCATAATTATTTTAAACTTTTAGTTTTTACAAATATTGTATATAATATTGTTGTTATTACATTTTCTTTTTTATAGAGATTTACTGAATAAATTTTTTTAGGGAGTTCTTTTATTTAAAATGGTTTAGTTATTTTTTAATGAAAAATTACACATACAAACCTTTTTTGTAATAACATGCACGGATGATTACATGTTGACTTTCATAGGATTTATAGGTGATTACTAAAGAAGTGTAAAACTCAAATGATTAATCATTATATATTTTAATTCAGCCATTATATATATTGTGTATTTAACAGACTCTGGTCAGATGACCTCTGGAGAGGAGACTATTTGGTCTTTAATCTCTATGAAACTGATGGCCGGCTCACCAGCAGTCCAGCATTACTAAGCACATTTGGGCAGCTCACGCAGACAGATGCTGCTACGTAACTCATTACATAATACTCTTCAAGGGCAAGCACGGTAGATTGCTGTGTTTTGCCGGGGTAGTCTAACCACTCCAAAAGAGAGTGCAAAGAAAAAGAGGATTTCAGCAAGCACTGTGGACTTAAGTCTGAAAGTAGGACGCTGTCTAAAATATATCTGTCCCAATTGTTACACTGGCATGAAATGTCAGAGCACTAAGGCAAAAAACAAAAAACAAAAACGGCCATCATGTATTTAGTCCCTGGTGCAAAGATTAACCGTAGAGGGAAACAGATCACTGTCTCTGAATGACGTCTGCTTTTCCTCCTTAGGGAGGAAACTCGGTCTGCTTTATTCCACCTGTTAAGGAGGAAATTAATGAACAGTGCCACAGATGAAAGCATCTATTTGGACAGTGGAAACAGGATTAAGTGTGCATGTGGCAGCAGTGGAATGAGCAAAAAGCATAATGTTTGCATCAAACAGCAGGAAGTGTCTGTATCGATTCTGCATCTCAGCTCATCAATTATGAATTATGCATGTAAATGGCTATAAATGGAAAAGTATGAGGCTAACTGTACTATAAGTTTATTATTTATACATTAATAAAAATGATTACAAAGACAAAAATATTTTTTTAAATATTGAAAAAATGACTTGTGGAAACTAAATCTAATACTGAAACAAAATAAAAATGAAAACAGTTTCCCAAATTCCCAAATAAAGTCCTGAATGAACAATTACTACAGCTAAACTGAAATAAAAAATCAATGCAAAACAAAATACAAATGAATGCCACAAAAAAGACAAACACCATGCACTCCAAAAAGGTCATGAGAACTGACAGATCATTCATCACTGCAGAAATAGATTTTCAAAACGTCACTTAGAGACACCAGGATGAGACTATTTTAGTTATTCAAGAATTTGACGCAATTTGTTGACAAGCCAGTGTCTGTAAAATGTGTCAGTGCGCATCTATTTGAGTATGTAAGCGCATGTAAATGTCTGAGCGGTGTGACCTTGTACCATCTGCTTGAGAACTGGCAGACTCATTAATGCTTAGGACGAAATAAAGATGTTCTGTAGACTTGTCAGTGCCCTAACTGGAGCTCATTAAATATTGTTTTCACACTCACCTCATCATTTGCACTCTCCATGAAAGAGCCCCCAAATAAGGCAGCCATCCAGTCACAGCTAGAGATCAGCAGTGGTTTGTGGGCGTTAATGGTGCCATCATCCAACCTGAACACCACATCTGCAAAGAGAGTCCAAAACTGATGAGAAACTATATTTTACAAAGATATCTTTCAACTAGAATAAGCATATTTCAGGAGGATGTTGCAGCAAATAATTAAAAATAATTTTAAAGAGACTGTGTTTCTTTCTCATTCAGAGTTAAAACAAACACATCTTGGTTCCTCAATACCTGTGAAGTTATTCTTGGCGAGACACTCTTTGATTCGGTTGGCCTTTCTCACATGGAACGCTTTTGTGATCTCTTGATTCATGAAGCCCTCATTGTTCATGATGTTCTCCACCATCATCCTAAGATCAAACACTTCTAGGATCTCTGCGATCTGGGCGATCTTCATCAGGTCCTTCTCCTTCTCATCCAGCTCACCAGTGTAGAGGAAGCGTAGGACAGCACTGAATGGTCCATGGTGGATGGAATGATCCATCTTGACGACAGTCATGAGAGCTGGTGCACCTGTGATCGGATTGATCCCGTTCTCCTTGTGGATGCTCTGGAAGGCCTTGCTCCAAGAGGCCAGAGACAGTTTGGTGCGCCGGTGCATCCCACTGAAACTCATCATCTTGAGGGTTCCGTCACTCTTGGATGCCCTGAGCGAGCAAGGTGAAAGATTGGGGAGAACGGTGATGTCCTCTTCCGTGTCCAGGCTTAGTGTGCGCATCAGTTGATCCCGCCCGTGACGCTCAGTTACCACCAAGCACTGGGACTCATCTGAGAAGTCCATATGAAAGAGGTCGAAGAATTTGGAGGATGAGGTAGACAGGTAGATCCTGTGGGCAAACAAGTGGATGTGTTCCTGAATGATGAACATAACATCAGCACACAGGGGGTTCTCAAGAAGCTGCTTCGGGCCATCCCGGTTTTTGGTTGGGCACTCAGGGATCTTAATAAGTGGTGGAGGGGCTTTGGGTGGCAGAAATGGTGCCTGCAACAGTGGCTTTTGGACCTTCCTCAGGTGGGACTTCCAGAATTGTAGGTGGCGTCTGGTAATGAGGGCTGCTCGGATGGCATTATCAAAGATATCCTTGATGCCAAACTGATCGAAAACGCTTGTCTCGTAGTATGGGAAGCCAAGCTCTTTGGCGACCTCCCTTCCACTCTCTGGAGGCAAAATATCTCCGGGTTTAATGGGCCTGTGAGAGACAAATAAATACAGCGGTAATATGACAGCGCTCCTGGCAAGAGCATATGCAAATTCCTGAGAAGTTGTTGCAGGGGAATTGTCAAAGAATATCCAAGTTCCAACTTATTGGATTCAGAAGAACAGGGGCTTTAGTTAACAGTACCTTGATAATGGTCGCCTAGCTCGATTGACTGCCTCCAGGTCAGCGTAGCGCAAGTCCAGCTGGCAACCGACCAAAATGACAGGTGTGCGAGGACAGAAGTGCTTGATCTCGAGGTACCACATGGTTTTAACATGGTGTAGGGAGTTGGGGTTGGCGATGGAAAAGCAGAGAACCACGACGTCAGACCTTCGAAAGTAAAAGTTGAGAAGTAAATCGAGTAACCATCCAATGAAAACTCATCTGTTTAACAACACAGGGCAAGACACCACGTAACACGCATGCTACCGGGATTTTAAGCCAAGAGTGCCGAATGTGACAGGTGCCAAGCGGTATCCATAGCAAAACCACAGTCCTTCAGTGTTTGGTGGACATGCAAAACCTGCGATCTCAATGTCAGCCTGACATTGACCCGTTGACAGCACGGAAAAGATTGCCTGTAGTTTACACAAGTCTTATGACGGAGACCACAAACTCCTTCGGCAATGCTTTTTTGTTTGGCTGCCTCTGTGAGGACTGGAACAAACATGATCAACAAAACAGACGAAACAAAAGCACAAAAAGGATGACATGCAGACATTCTGGCGCACTGCTGGCATACCTTTCTGTAGCAAGATTAGTACAAAGTCTATCCTGGGGAGGGGGGCAACACCTGTCACCACACGAGTAAGTGAATAATGTACGATCACCCGTTTGCCATCGTCCACTAAAGGAATCGTGCATTTCTTGCTGCAGAAATATAATTTCTTCTAATAGGGATTCTTGAAGTGTGTCACATTCCCCTCCCTAGCTAGTGCGAATCATGAACATGAATTTGGGTGCTAACAATCCATTAAGCATTGGAACACTGATGACTAAATTACCTTCGACATGACAAAAAACATTGCTTTATTACAAGCCATGAGCAATATTCTGCTGATATTATTTCTGGCCACATTAAGTAAATAAAATCATCAGCTGATGCTCTTTTTTATGGTGCATTCTGGGAATTTTTAGGGAGTAAACGTTTCAGTGCACTTTAATGAATTTAATTCACTAGACAGTGCACTACTAGTGAAGTAGGGAGTGGATTAAGACAGCCTAGGTTTTTAACATTATAAATCAAGACGTTTCTACCATCAATTCCTAAAAATAAAAAAGTGAATTGGGTTTGACATATTATGCATGACTGATAACACCAAGCAAACTCTTTCTTTAAAACTGGCCAGTAATTGTCTTATTAACAGAAAAACATAAAATGACCTTGAATGAAGTAGCAACAATACGAACATGAATGCTGCATGCTATGCATTCTAAATGTCTTGTAAATACATCTGTGAACATAACATAATTTATGTTAATTATGTTACCGCCATTACAAACCAAAATGAGAATATTTTGTTTATCCTGCACTGAAAATGTCAGAAAAAAAAGCATAAAAGCAGTGAGTGTGTGATGAATGCAAAGAAAGACCTCATTAACTAAGTGCTTGACACAAAATGGCCATGAGTTACCATAACAGTGTTCAGCTGTCATGTTCGACCCGCATTCAGTTGCAAATAGCTCAGTGTCTGATGTCAGAGCGAATGATGAAAGCATCTGATGGCAGGATGCTTCCTCTCTTTCTGTTCAGTAAAGTGGTGGCATTTGTGAACTGAAGAAGCAATTAAGATTTTCTCTGGTAATTTGTTATAAGATATTATCCAGAGAGCACTGTGCAATTTTCTCATGCATGCCCTTATATTTATGTTATTTTCAGCATCGTAGTTTAATTTGAGTCACACTGATTGCCATACTAAATAAATTAATATAATGCACCCTAATGCAATTAATTTCATTTGAAAAGGAATTAAAGGCATAGTTCACCCCCAAAAAAAAGTAATTAAATTAATTAATTTTTTTGAGGAACACAAAAGAAGATGTTTAGAATAATATTCACACTCCTCTTTTCTATACAATGTAAGTGAATGGTGACCAACAAAAGTATCATAAAAATCAATACAACTTATGTGCTGTAAGTCTTTTGAAGTCATACATTAGCTTTGCAAATGTACATATTAAAATTAGTCGTGTTTGGTCATGTGACACACAAGAAAGGTCTGTGTACTTTGTGTTCAATAGTGTTTTTTTTTTTTAAATACCTGAAAGCAGAAAAATTAGACTAAACGCGACATTTTGCAAAAAAAAAAAAAAAAAGTGTTTCAATGTTGTTGTATGTGTAATAACAGCTCTGGCTGTTAACTTGGCATCTAATGTAATCATAGAATAATAACACTAACAGTAAACGTCATCCATGCGATTTTATTACTTAATATTAAAATCATACAATTATTTTTCACGTCTTAACTCCAAGGGAACATTTTATTACATAATACAATATTAAATTACGGATATGGCCTTTAATGACTCCAATTAGTGAAACAACTGGAGAGACGCAAATAAAGGGCATTATGCAAAATGCAGCATCATCTCTAGTTTTCACCTTCACACATTCAATACATCTTCAGCTGACATCTTAAAGGTGAGGTGTAAAAAATTCACTGAAAAATCATCTTAATACACACTAAGACCTACATTTCTAAACCTAAAAATTCAGTTTCAACATGATGTTAATCAGCATATATGTCAGCTATATGTAAACTTATGGTTTAAACACTAGAGTAAGGCATCCATTCATGCACCTCTATTCATAACATCTCTAGACTTTAGGCACTCTATAACCAACACACAGTCTTATCCACTCATCTTTTATGTTACAATCTCTTCATATACAGTGTAATGACAGACTAATTGGCATTTTTAGGGTCTGTTCCAATGTAATTTAAAGTCTGGGACATTGTAATCAAATAATGAATTTTAGCTGGAATCAGTTCAAATACTGAGCAACACATGTTTGACCCAAAGTTGGGTTGAAACAACCCAGCATTTTTTAGAGTGTACAATCTCTTCATATACAGTGTAATGGCAGACTAATTGGCATTTTTAGGGTCTGTTCCAATGTAATTTAAAGTCTAGGACATTGTAATCAAATAATGAATTTTAGCTGGAATCAGTTCAAATACTGAGCAACACATGCACACACACACACACACACACACACAAAACTCACTAAAATTGGAAACTTAATTGCTGTCTTAAATGATTTAAACCAAAGTGGTGCCAAGGTTGAGTGCACTTTTTCCAGCCACTTCCAATTACAGATGAATTCAAGTTGGACAAAACAAAGTGGAAATCAAGTAGAAATGGACAAGGTAAATGTACTTTAAGAATCAAAGATAGGCTATGTCATAACATAATGATTTTTATTTAGAGCACATCAGTCTGGAGTGTCTGTTGCACTGAAGTTTGAACTCACACTTAAATCAAGAGATATGACTGTGCATAAGTCATGTAAACATAGCCTACACATTTATGCATGCATGCAATACATTATTTCTAGCTCATCTGACACAAGGTTGATTCTTCTAATTCTTACATAAGGTTGATTCTTTATTATTATTATTATTACTATTATTAATATAAATAAAACCAGTTAATTTAGATGCTCCCACAAGAAGCAGAATTATGGGTCAAATATTTTCAAAGCAATGTTTTTTTCTTCTTTTTTTATCACAGATGTAATGCATAGAGAATACTGACATTACCCCACCATTTGTAATTTTGGGAAATAATTTCATAATAAACCAAAAATTACACAAATTGTATAAAAAACGACACATCGTTGTCTCTTTGTAAGTTGATCAACTGTCCCACGAGGCTGCATGATGAATTACATAAGGACACCACCCTGCAAACAAAAACCATCACACAGTGGACACAAGCATACGTACCGTGTCTTTGTGATGTGTGTGTTTATTGTTAAAAACGACACATCGTTGTCTCTTTGTAAGTTGATCAACTGTCCCACGAGGTTGCATGATGAATTACATAAGGACACCACCCTGCAAACAAAAACCATCACACAGTGGACACAAGCATACGCACCGTGTCTTTGTGATGTGTGTGTTTATTGTTGTCAGAAGTCAATTGAGTAGCCTATACAGTGACTGCAGCTCGCTGATGAAAGAACAAACGCTCGTCGCTAGCTGGGCAAATGCTGCAAAACCATCTCCTAACCGTCACTACGTCCCCGTCTGTGAGCAAAAAAAAAGTTAATTCCTATATATCTGCAAGCGTACAGACTGATAAATATGCGGGTAGCCTATAGTGTGTCCTTCCCGATCGCGAGGCTCTTTGAGAGAATCATCATCTGTCGCGAGTCAGATGCGACTTCCATTGTGACGTCATAGCGCCGGTGCTATTAATAGCGCGCGCGTACGATTTCATTCAGGAAAACAAGGTGCCTCATATGTGCTGTGAGCCGAAGAAGAGCATCAGCCAGCTTCTTGGACGCTTATTTTCAGTGAAACCCAAAGCGAAACGCGTTCATTTAAAATAAGATAGGTCTTCAAATGTAATTACTCCTTTGACTTGACATGTGACCGCATAAGTGTCAGTCACTGTCAAGGCTGTCAGCCATCTGGCTAATCTAATGACACTGATGCTGTAAATTTCGAAATGTATATGAATTTATGTTACGAGCACAGTCAGATGTGCACACTTCATTTCCTTACACCCTGATTAGATGCTAAATGACTGACATCTCTGTGGTCTACTACATCATTTTAATCCAAATAAGTAGATTACCATCGACTCATTTCCGATATTATCTTCTGCATATATTGGATGAGCAAAAACCTGAATGGCCGATTAGTTCTGTTTCATAACAGCATAGTCCCAGTGTACATCAAAATAGACCAGACCTGTGAATCCAGTAGAAGAACAGACTGCCCTAATTCTAGCAATTTCCTAGTCTTTTTACTTGCTCGGAGAAACACAGCTCAAATTATGAATGAAACCAGGGCGGCGGAGCCAGACGCACATCAAGAGATACTTCAGGGCCCCGTCTCATGCCTATAAACCCAGAGGATGTTTTTGAATCATGCATGAAGTGCGTGACGTAGATATATTTATAACTGCTAGGAGCCTGATCCCTTGGTTTGCTGGAGGCAGTAAATGAATGAAGGCAAAGTTGAGTGGGACACATCCTGTAAACAGGATTATTCAGCTTCAGTCCTGGGATGTCTTAGCATGCCTGCTTGTCAAGTAGGTGATATCATGTGGAGCATAACATACAAGTGAAAATTTCCAATTTGTAATCTGTAATCCTTTGAATTAATTTGAACGGTTCACATAAAATTCCTGATATGACCCAGCTATCAGACTCATATTTTCATATTTTTCTGTGCATAACCAATGATACGTCACAATTGGTTTAAACGTTTTAAATGAAGGTTCTAAAACTGCACATTATTTCCACGTCATATCAAGCATCACAAATAAATCACTGTGCATTTCTTCAGTAATTTGCCATCTCAATACAATTGCAAATACCAATATTATGATAATTTACTTTGTG